AAAAAATAAAAAATTATTCCCCAACAAACAATCGTACATCTGTAGAGTCCTTGACACAAATAGCCGAAGCCTAACTTCTGGTCCTATAGCTTCTTTCAATTTGAATGCACCTAAAGATTTGCTGGGGTTGTGCGGCACATGATATAATTGGTTGCTACCTGTTTTTCCCCAGCACATAGCAGTCACGCAAATCAGATCTAGATGAGACAAGACTGGCCACAGTTTGTCTATAGTCTTAACCAGTCTACCTCTAGTTGAGATGGCAATTCGTGCTGTCCCGCTATACCGCCAGCCCTGCTGTACTGCCATCGTCATACGTTCCCCAAGGTAGGGGGTATGACGAGGTTTGATTGCAATTGATAAACTGCATTACCACAACACATACTCCCGCTTAGCTGCAAGCTCTATGCGTTTCATATTCTGTATTATTACCCATGAAGATCCTAGAAACATTCTAGGCTTCGTGGAACGCGTACACTCGTTAAAAACACTAATTATATGACAAGATCTTTCGCTGTCTATAGCCGGGTACCCATTCTTACCTGTGTGAAGTGTGAAAAATTCGAGTAAAATGCCTTCCCCAATGACACAATGTCAGGCTCCTGGCGGAATTCGAACCTACGACATAACGATTGAGAGTCTAAGGGCCTAAATAACTGCTTGATCTAGACCATAGTCTACCCTGTCGATCCCCATGTCACACACATGTCAACGAGTGAAAAAGACAAAACGTGATGTCGTTTGGAGAGAGACACCTCGATAGACCAGAACTCATCATTCACAACCCATGCCTCAAGCCAGGGGAATAAAGGAAGTCGGCATGAAAAAAAATTCATGAAAGAAAAAGGCGTCGATTATTGTACCAATTTATTCCTCATGGTCATGAGAAAACAGGGTGTGTCATCAATAACACGAAATGGTTAACAGCAAATGTACACAACGAAAGTTCTAATCAGTTCCAGCAGTTGTTTTTTTATTACAAGGTATTGACAAATTATAATGATTCATTCTCTGCTTTCTTTCAATGTTCCTTTTTCGTGCTGACAAACAAAGATATTTGATTTTTTTAAACAACTACCTCCCCACACATGAATCAAACTCTCACCTTCTTGGAGCAACAGCGAAGACTCTTACCAATGCATCTCAAACTCAACAAAGCCGCTGTGTGCTTCACAAACTACATTGTATTGCGTTTAGAAGGTAGTACGCCGCACCATCGTTCTGTAATCCTTTACATCTGAGATTGTTGCCAGAGTTTGTAGTAGGCTAAATAAAAACATTACATCTTATTAATAACAGTTCACTGTCTGACGTTGACCATTGCATTAACAGGGGAGAATGTTCCTTTTATAGAGACATAGAAGAAATAAGGATTGTGGTGACTTCTGTCAGCTGGTAAGGTCACTTCTGGCAGAGATGAGTTTGCCAAGTTTTGAATATTTAAAAGCTAAGTTTCCTTTATTACCGGCGAACGGGGGTGGGGGGGGTTAACCCACTGTGCCGAAGCCTTCTTTAGGTACGAAATCCAAAAGTGACAAAGTACGTCATTAAATTGGTCCTTGATTCAAAACAAATCAAAACAAATTATGAAAATAGTTTGACTGTTCGTCATCAATGAGAGCCGAACACTTATAAGACGTAGAAATTGTCGTAAAGGAGTGCGCCTGAGCCTCTTTTAGCGGTTTACCAGCACGAGGTTCCGGCCGCGAGTTGCTGGGATCGGCTTGCCGGAGATAAGGAGCTAGTACAATATGTACTATTCAACTCTATATTTCATAGTTCTTTAAACACACAATTTTAACGTGCCCAATCGTGCACTTTTATCTGATGATGTCATCATTCCTTTGATGACTGCTTCGGAGATATTTCTCTCGCTCGCCTGAGCTGCGACTTGCACAAACAAAATAGAAAAAAAAACCAAAACAAATTTGAACCATGCCGAATACCTCGAGAGAAAAATCCGAATACACAAAAGAGCACTTCTGATTACATAACACTGTGAGAAAAATGAGGAAAAGGTGTAAAATGTTTGTCCGTGGTCTATCTATACCCCTATGAAGGGTGAGAAAAGCTTTGATGATGAGAAAAATGAGAGTGGAGTAAGTGATTATTTCGGAGTCTGGGTATCGATCCAGTTGTATTTCTCGAGTGATTTCGTGCGTGGTCGATGGTAAATGAATCTGACGGGCAAAGAGACTTTTATAAATCTGAGTACTATACTGTGGTTTTACCTTCGTTGTGCAAGACAATAGTAAGGATCCAACCTTTGGCCTTTTGACTCTTAATTATTAAAAGATTACCATAAAGCTGTATGCATGAAACAGTTTTGCTTGGGCTGTAGACACAGAGGAAGTAGACAGCCTAAATAAACACTCCCCTTCAGATTGTGACGACTTTGATACTTTGTTCCAAAAGAGAAACCTGTTTTGGAATCATGGAGAGCGTAAAGATGTGTCTTACTAATTTACAAGTCTGATTGGGCTAATTTTTTTTTTTTGGGGGGGGGGGAGAATTTAAAAAAATAATTTTTGCGAAAGTGGCGGTCTTGCGTCAAACCAATACATCACAAGTGTTGCAAGCTTCCCCTTCCCTGTGTGTCACAAGCCATCGCGTGAGAAGTTACTGTGCCGGTTGTGCTGTCACCCTTCTCATTTAAGAAGGTTGTCGGGTTTTGCTGTAAACTAAAAGAAAAAAGGGACACTGTACAGCCAAACTTGTACAAGACAACCATCATTTATCAGGCGAAAAGTGGTCATCTGAGACAAGTGGGTTTGGACAGTGCCATTATAATCATATTAAAAAGAAAGCAGAAAAGGGAATCTGAGAAGTAGGGCTGGGCGGTACCGGCGAAACCCAGTGCCGGTTAGTTAGTTGGTGACTTTTGGGGAGGGGGATGATGCGAGGAAGGGAAGATGGAAAAAGGGGTTCTTTTTTTTGGGGGGATTTGCCTGATTGTCTTGGACAGGTTTTGGGGTTTGTTGGTTGATAAAATTCGAACAAAGCCTCGCTAACAGATTGCCGTCTTGAGCAGTGCAATTTTACAGAATAATGACAAGGGGGACGTAGGAATTGGCTTTTAGTACGGGTGGTTGTGTAGGTCAAGAAGCCGTCAGAGCAGGTTCGACTGTATACGTGAGATCAGCTGTAACGTGGACGATTTTGGATCACTGGCATATTATTAATTATCTTGTGTATAAATGCGCTGTGTCTATAATCATTAGAGGGAAACTGGTCATAGTCACAGCTTAAATGTTATTAAAATGTACTCAATCCAGTACAGTAAGTTTGTGCTGGTCGTCTCCGAAGTTTTATTCTCACTTTCTGTCGGTTTTTTATTCTGTGGACTGTGTTATGTCTCTCCATTGATTCTGCCTTTACATCAGCTTGGCGAAGAACGGTGTGATCAGAGCCAGACACAGAAGTAGGAGGAGTTGATGCTCATGACGGGGGGCGGAGTTCGGGATAGTCCGTGTTTGTTGTGGTGCTGATGCCACCTGGAGATGGAAGGGAATAAGCGTGTTTAAGTGAACGTATAATAATATAATATAGCAACATATTGTATATTATGCATGATACGCATATATATATATATATCATCAATCATCATCAATGCCTTTCACCCCTGGCAGGGTATAGGCCACATACAAGCTCCTTCCATTTATCTTTGTCCTGAGCCATCTTTCCAAGCTCGTTCCAAGTGAGCTTCATTTCTCTCATGTCTCTTTCCACGCATCTCCTCCATGTTTCCCGTGGCCTACCCCT